AAGATGTGGCATGGAATATGCCCTCCTATTTTAAACTACTAGAAACCTGGACCAAACGAACTATTTTCAGACTTTGGAGCAATAGGCTTCCCAGTATTGTGACCATGGAGAGAAGGGAAACAAGTGACTTAAGGCCTAAGATCACCTTGGCTTCCTGTCAGTACTTGGCCCAGGGAATGGGGGATCCAAGCAGAATATGGTGATTTTGCTATGTTGGAGTGGAGCTAGAAGTTTGGAGAATCTGCAGTAGCTAAACTTTGCAAAGTAGAGTTCAGGGCAGAGGGGAAAATGTATAGATCACGAGCTTCAGAAATCTTCATAGGAGTTCCCTTCCATCTTCAGCTCAGTATGAACCTGCATATTTGCAGGTCACAACTCCAGGCAAAAGTACTCCCAGGGTGTGCTATGAGTTGAACAATTCCCAGAGTTTAGACACTATTTGAGTGTGTTTAAATTTTATCTAGCCAGGTTAGACAGACTTCATTAAACACATAGAGCATTTGTAAAGACTGCAGGAGGTAATCCCAGAATATTAAGGCGAAACCAGCCCTCAGGTAAAGGCTGCTCCATTTATGCCTTGCTAAGCTTAAAAACAGACTTCTCCACAAGTAGTTTAGTTACCCAGGGTCAAATAGGCAAAAGGGGCCAAAACAAACATCAGTACCCTTTATAGGAAGACAGCACAACCCTGACACTGAACTTAACACTCATGATATCTAGCACAGAGTTAAAATTACTGGTGATATGAAAAAGCTGCAAATTAGATGATAAGAACAGACCTAGAAATGAGAAGGATAGTGGAATTAGCAAAGAATATACACACTAATTTTGAATTATTACTAAATATATTAAAAGATATAAAGGAAAACATAAACATAGAAAAATGGATCTAAAGAAGGAACCAAATGAAACTTCTAAAGCTGAAAAATACACTATATGAAAAGAAAATCTCACTAGATCAGCTAAATGCAAGAGTAGACCATGTTAAAAGAAACAAACTCAATAAACTTGAAGTCATGACAATAGAAATTATCAAAACTTTAGCTCAGAGAGAAAAGACTAAATAAAATTAGGAGAGCCTCAATGACCTGTGGGACAATATTAAGCATTCTTATGTAAACATAGTTAGAGTTGTAAAATGAGAGAAGAGAAAGATGGAGTAATATATATACATATATATATATGTATATATATATATATAAAATATTTGAATAAATATGGCCAAAGATTTCTGAATTTCATAAAAACTATAAATACACATATATTAAGATCAACATAACATGCATGATAAAGACAAACCACATCAAGACATATCATACTCAAATTCTTGGAAACCAATGTGAGGAAAAATAAAAGTACCAGAGGGGAGAAAACATTAAAAATAGGGGACAAAGATGAGAATGTATTGGCAGAAACACTGCAAACCAGGAGATAATATAGTGAAATCTTTTAATGTGTTAGGGGGAAAAAATAGCCAAACCAGAAACTATTAGCTTAAAGAACTCTATTCAACAAAAATATCTTACAGAAATGAAAGCAAGATAAAGTATTTTTTAGCCAACAAATGCTAACGTATACTACAAGACTCAGTGTTTTTATTTTTTACAAATGCCTAAGATATTATCTTTTTTAGTTATGTTTTTGAAATGGGTTGTTTGCTTTTTAGTTGTGTTTAAAATGTTCTTTATAAAGATGATTTCATTTTTTATACAGCTAAATTTATAGATCCTGTCATTTGTCCTGGGTCTTGTCAGTAGACTAGGCTCAAATATGATAGTCTGTATTTTGTGATTATTATATTACAACTTTGAGAAAATTGTTTTATTATTTTTGGGACTTGGTTTCTATGTCTTATTGAACTATCTTATTATAGGATATACGGATTTTTTAAAATATGGCTTTAAAAACTAGGCTTAAGGAATGAACAATTAGTAAAATGTGTTTCTCTATAATTAGAGTTCTTCAGAATAACTTCAGATTTTCAAGATGTGAATTCCTTGAAATAGGAATGATAAACCATTGTTCAGTAACATTTGAAATAATAAAGTTGGCCAGCATTTGTGTTGAAAATATCTTTTGATGCTTTATTCAATGTGCAGAGTTTAGGTAACATCAGAGAGGAAAGTTGTTGAACTGATGCTGTTAAATGTCAGACATCTACTGCACAAGATGATGTATTTTAGGATTCAGGCTTTGACAAGTTGACTTGGGAGTTAACTTGTCATTACTGATTCTACCCTTCACTATTTCACAAGCAGACAGTTAAACTTGTCATCACAACATTTCTTCTGACTAGAAAGAAAATTTGAATTTTGAAACATTTACAGTTAATGGCAGAATTATACTGCTATTCCAGTCAGGCCGTTCCCTTTGGGGTTTCTTTAACTGCTTGCTTAAATATTGGTCATTGTTTGTTTATACACATACTTTTTCAAAGATTTTGTCGCCTATTCAGAGCTTAATTATCAGATGAAAAAAGCAATTGAGACTCAAGAAAAGTTAAAATATATATTTTTTTAACTCCTGAATTTAACAAGCTGTAATTTTTATTGTCTTCATAATGTAGGAGCTTGATTTCTCAGGGAAATTACCCAAGTTAGATAGTTTCGTTTAAACAAACCCAGCAGTAGAATGCTTTTGAGTTAAACATGACATGAGATCAGTGAAAAGGCAAAAGCATGTCAGTATTAAAGCTGGTGTCAGAATTTTTCAAAAAGGAAATGACAAAACCTTGAGATCTGAGCTGCTGTGATGGGTGTGGAAAATAAAAGCAATAAATAAAGATGTCAGGAAGCAAGAGATGAAGATTATGGGCATCATTGTCAGTGAAGGTGTAGTTATGGCAGGTTCAGAAGGTGTTAGAGGTGAGTGGAGTGGGGTGCTAGTAGCTTTATCTTCGTAGAGGAGCATTTCAAGAAAAGAAACCAAAGCAAAGGAAGAAGGACTGTTGTTTTCTCCTTAAATTAGGGCCAATGAATTACCAGGAATCTAAAAAATTACCTCTCTCAGTCCCTTCGAAAGAGAAACCATAACGACCAATTGTCCATGCAGTTCATTCCTTTCTCTTCAGGTTGAATCCAAAGTAGCCATTTCGTCATCTGAAATCAAAATTAAATAGTTGTACGCTGGTATGCACGCATGCTAAGTCGTTTCAGTCGTGTGCAGCCCTGTGGTCAGCAGCCCGCCAGGCTCCTCTGTCCGTGGGATTCTCTAGGCAAGAATACTGAAGTGGGTTGCCATTTCCTCTTACTTCAGTATAACTATACTTAAATGCATCAATGATTAATTTGTGTTTCAAATCAAAGTTTTTATCTAGTGATAGAACTTTAAAACAATGCATCCACTAAATATCTGGCATTATGCTAAAGGCTATTGATAACTGAAATGCTTTCTTTCTTTGCTTGTATGAAGTTAATGGTGAGGTAGCTAAAAAATTCACACAGACACAACAGTTGATGTGATGGAGGGTGGCGTGGGTGTTTAGCATTAAAGAAGAATGCCTGTTACACCAGAAACTTTGGATGGAGGCAGACAGGAATGGAGGGTCACAAAGGGTTACCTAGAATACACCAGTGGGGGAGGAGCTGGACTAAGCAGTCGGAGAGCAGGAAATACTTATTGCAAAGAGAAGAACATGTGAATTTCTTTCTTCTTCCCTTCCTTTCTCCCTTCCTCCTGGGAATGACACAGTTGGAATGGAAAATACAGGACAGATCTTGAAGACCTTTTAATCTTGAAACCTCCAGAACTGCCATGTTATCAGTTATCAGGAAGTGATGTCATTAGCTCTGTATTTTAAGAAGATCATTCTGGCAGTCTTGAGGAGAAGGTGGAGAACTGGGAAAGGAATTTTGTTTGGAGGGACTTAAGTGACTTTAAGGAGCAATAGAAAGCCCCGAAGGAGGGCAGTGTTCAAATAAAGAGGAGGCAAAGCAAGTATGTCAGGGAACTGGACGTGACAGAATTCTGTGGCTGAGTTCACGTGTCAGGGGTGGGGTGGGGATCGGGGGGATCAGTCTACAGTAATGAGTCCTAAATTCCTGGTGGGATAAGTGGAGAATGTGGTACCAGTTTGGTATGAGGAGGGATAAAGATTTGAGATGCTTGTGGCATTTACATTAATTAGTGTTATGGTTTATTCATTACTAATAGCACATTTATTGAGTGCTGAAGTGGGTGCTATCTTTATCCTCATTTTTGCCTTTGATGAAACTGACAACCAAAGAGGACTGATAGCTTGTCCAAGGTCATAAAGGAAGTGAGTGCAGAGCTAGAACTTGAGTTCAGGAATTGATTTCCATTCTGTTAACTTCTTTATGCTCTTGCTTTTCAATCATGTGGAGATCTGTGAGACAGTTCTCAACCAGAGATAGGGATGTGAGACGTACTAGCTTCTATTTATGGGAGATGAAATCACTGGCCTGAATGACATGTCTCTTGGAGAGTCTTTGGAGTTCATGTGAGTGCACTGAAGTTACAAGTTCATTTTTAGAAAAAGAAAGTGAGTTTGGGAAAGAACTGAGGGACCAGAAAGATAGGAGGAAAAGTCAGGAAGAACTGTCTACCAAAGCTGAATTGGGTGGTTGTTTTCCCTCTCTCTCTCTTTTTTTAACTTTTAAAACGTAGGACAGTCCTAAAGTCATCAAACAGTTCTAAAATCTTAAAATATAAACCCCCAAATATCCATGAGGAGTTACAAGTGATGCTGGCCAGAAGGGTTTCAGTTCAGTTATTCAGAAACAGAATGAAAGAGGGAATGAAAAAGAGGCGAGGACATTAAGACCACAAGTTCAGGGAATTTTCTGGGCTCTATGGAGAGAGACGTGTGACTCCAAAGCAAAAGAGGGATCAAGTGAGTGGAAGCTGATGGCAGACAGAGGGATTTTCTTCTGATGGATGAGATCAGATCACATTTATATGGATTTAAGGATATTCTCTGTAGAAGTAAGGCTTTAAAAAAAACAAAATTATCATTTGAAATACTTTTCTAACTTTTACAGAACATTATACATCCATGGGCATACCAAGTTGGATTTCACAGTCTGGCATACTGCAATTGAAAAAGCAGCAGGTACAGATGGGAATGCATTACAAGACCAGCAGCTCAGCAACAATGACGTTCCCATTATCGTGAACAGCTGTATAGCATTTGTTACACAGTATGGTAAGTATCAGAGTTTTTATTCAACCCCAAGGACTCATAGTAGCATTCTTACAGTTTTGAAATTGTACCTCCATTGGACTGAAGGAGAGCCCTTTGTATTTTAAGAACATCAGTGAAAATTATTTTTATTTTTTTTTTCCATTTATTTTTATTAGTTGGAGGCTAATTACTTTACATCATTGCAGTGGTTCTTGTCATACATTGAAATGAATTAGCCATGGCCTCTTCAGCCTAAATGCCATTCCTTCTCACAGTGAAGTTCATTTAAATTATATCACATGCCTTACAAATTCCTTCTTCCTTTAAATGCATAAAATTTTTAAATGACATATTAGAAGAATCTATATTGTAAAATGTATATTTAAAAAATGATTAAAGGTTGTACTTTTCAGAGGTTCTAACTTTAAAGTCTTGGGGAATGTAGTGGTGACTGTTTTAAAACTGGTAAATGATGGGACAATGCATAAAAGACTTTACTTTTTTGTAGGCCTGCATGCAAAGTGTCTGTGTATTTATTCCCTTTAACATGTATTTGGTCACATGTTTATAGTAAGAAATGTGGTCATTAATTCTGCTGGTTTGACTTAATTGTGACATTTTTATGAATAGTTTGCAGGTTAAAACCAATTTGAATCAGGCTTCATTTTAATTTAACATGCTGTGGTAGTATTTTACACATGCCAAAAAGTAAATGAGGTATATCTTTATTATTTTTACTTATTTTCAAATTACTACTCATTCTTAAAATTTCTTCTATTACATGTTCCCTTAATATGCTGAAAGATAAATAAATTGCTTAACTGTATTTTTAATATAAAAATATGTCCTCTCAATCTGTCTATAAAAGGCATTGATTTAGATTATACATGCAGAAAAAAAGTAAAATGGTTTATCTTATATTTTGGAAGCTGTGTTAGCTTTTCATTGTTCTCCTAGTCTTAAATATATCTTTGGGTATTTTTAATTTGAAAAGAAAGTGTAATCAGTGAGAGAGCTGTAGAAAAACACTGTTGTATGAGTTTTTCTTTTTTTACTTATTTATTGTCTATTGTGTGCCAGCCGCTGAGCTTAGCACTGGAAATTGAGCAGTGGTAGTAAAGAGTGAAAGAACCATAAATTTTGACTTCCAGTATGAGAACTAACAGTGAACTGATATGAACACAATGCCAGAAATAACAAATGCTATGAAAAAAAATAAGGGAAAATTAAGTCTAGAATATGTGTATATTAATCTGTTTTCTCCTAGGGAGAGTGCCATTTTAAGTATTTCACTCATTTCATTATCCAAGTAAAGTTATCCAAGTAAAATTATGATTAATATTCAGTTTTGACTATTAATTTGTGTTTGAATTATATACATTACAAATATGTTATATAATCACATTATGTGGGATTATTCTGTGAAGTTCCTTGATAGTCTGGTTATATTTTTCTTATCAACTGTCATCATCTGTTTGTTTGAAAATGGGGGAGGAAAGTTATCATCTTCATTTACTAGTAATTCAGTATTGGTGCACTTGCATTGTGCAGGTATAAATAAATTGCACACATCTTATGTTTTAGCAAGATCATAACCTCATTGGGAATTTTCACATCTTGTTAGTTTCGTAATGGTATAAGGTCTTTCTTAAGCTGACAAATGATTAAAATAGCTTGACTAGCTCCCAGTGTATCCAATTTAATGTTTCTCTAGGGAAATCAGAAGTTTCTTTGTGGTGTTTATTTGCATTTAAAATCATTAAGCATTAGATTGTTTTCAACTAAATTTCATATATTATAATTACCTTGTAGCTCTAGCATAAGGTACATTAGCTTCCATATTAAAGTAATAAAGCCAATAAAAGACTCTTAATGTTTTTTCCAGCTTTTTGTTTTTTTAATGAGCAAAACATGTGAAAACCTCAATATTACCAGTATGGGTAGAAGGGAAGATTTGATATGAACTTAGAAAATGCCCAGTGATCCTAGGATGCAGGTGATTGACTCAGGGCCTATATGATCATAATTATTTTGAATTTCCTAATCTTTGGTATAAAATCTAAAAGCCTAATTTTTGTGCTTATGGTGTCAAAATCTGAACCTGACAAAATTCACAGTGTAATTCTTAGAGTATTAATTTCTTTAATGAGTTACAGCAGTTAGTTCTTGGGGGGATATATTTAATTTTTGTAAACAAAATTGTGTTCAGATTCACATTTAGTTACCTTGTACCAGTTGTTAAAAATTCACTCAACTAGGAACATGATATCTCAGAAACTTAATTTTTTGGTAGAACTTGCTTATTATTCTATTGTGGTCATTTACTGAGTATCCACTGAGTTCTTTGAGGTACTGTGTAACTACTGTATACAGAAAATAAGACATGATCTTTGCCTTCTAGGAGCTTATAGATTGTGGATCAAAATAAGTGGGCATTTACATCTGAATTGTATAAAATTCCGTGGCAGAGAGGTTGAGGGGTTGGTCCAGGTGTCCATGGCTTAGAGCTGAAATTCACTCAGTGTAGCAGTGGTTACGGAGGGTTTCATGGGTGACGCATGGAACCTGCCATGTGTTTTAAGAGCGAATGGGAGCTCGTTGGGAGAAGGAAGGAGTAGGGAGTCCAGGCAGAGGAACCTATGTATGCCAGGTGTGGAGTCATGAAGGAAGTTAACTGTGGGCAGCTAAATGTGGTCAGCACTTAGTGTGAGAAGAGCGGAAAATAAAAGAAGCTGGAGGACTAGTTAGGGCATTCATATAGGGTCTTACACGTATGCATGCATGCTAAGTCATTTCAGTTGTTTCCAACTCTTTGCGACCCTATGGACAATAGCCCACCAGGCTCCTCAGTCCATGGGGTTCTCCAGGCAAGGAGAGTGGAGTGGGTAGCTATGCCCTCCTCCAGGGGATCATCCCAACCCAGGGATCGAACCCACATCTCTTATGTCTCCTGCATTGGCAGGTGGGTTCTTCACCACTAACACCACCTGGGGCTTCCCAGGGGTTATGTATCATAATAAAAGCCTTAAACTTGGCCTCTGTTGTTGTTCAGTTGCCCAGTCATGTCCAGCTCTTTGTGACCCCATGGACTGCAGCACGCCAGGCTTGCCTGTCCCTCACCATCTCCCGGAGCTTGCTCAAACTCATGTCCGTTGAGTTGGAGGTGCCATGCAACCATCTCATCCTCTGTTGTCTCCTTCTCCTCACACCTTCAATCTTCCCAAAAACTTGCCCTCTAGTCAGTGGTAGGGGGCTATATCCATATTTTTAAGCATTTTGGCAACACCAGCAGACTTGTGTCTCAGATCATTCTATTATCATTTTCAAGACCGACTGGAGGGCTCGGTGGAAACAGGGACAGAGGTGCAATAACATACGGAGGAAGTGGGTGCCTGAAATTATAATAGTGCAGGTGATGGAGCAAGGGGACAGTTTTGTGAGAGAAGTCATGATGAAAAATATATGTGACAGTTTTTAAAAAATTTTTATTGATTCTTTTGATGTGATATGAGAGAAAGAGAAGTTCTGGCTTATAAATGACTGGGGAGAAGGCAGTGCCACATATTGAGGTATAGGAACAAGATAAAAGGCATGTTGGGATTGGGAGGTGAAGTACTGAATGGGGTAGGAAAATTAATTTGTTCATATGTATAAGTATAGTCTGTGTGGCTTGTATTTGGGAAGCCCTGTATTTATATATAGATTTAGATATATAATGCACATGTGCATTTGAAATTTTCAAAATTAAAAGCTGAGTAGAAATATACATGTCTTAGTTGAAGTGATGAAAACGGATGGGTTCATCTAGAAAATTTTGTAGGGGATCAGAGAAGAGAGTTGAGGACAGTTTTCTGGAATCATCAGTAAAGACTGGATAGCAGAATAAATAGAAGACTAGAAGGGGAGTCATAGAGAAAGGGGTCAAAAGAGATGAGATCATAACATCATGAAAGCCTTGAGATTAACAGAATTTTAACCAGGATTCACTGGAGTATTAGACACTGCAAGGGGATCCTATTATATAAAAATTGAAAAGCATCTAGAAAGCATATTCTTGAGGAAGACGGTCCCAACAGAGTGGGAGTTGGGCCCGAAGCAAGAGTAAGTGGTTAAAGGATCAACAGGGATGCAAGGTGGTAGAAAGAATAAATATGGAAAACTCAGATTAGTTTTGGAAGAAAGAAAAACAAGAGGCCTGAAGGGAGGGGGCAAAAAAGGATTAATAAATATTTGCATATCATCATCATCATCCCCACCACTCCTCTTCCTCCAGTTAACTGCTGCTATTCTTATTTTATGTGGGAAACTTGATCAGTATGTAATTCTGAAACGTTATGACCCAACTCTTCCATCTAGAAGGTGTGGAACAGACAGAATTAAATATGCACATATGAATGTAGAGACTTAAGGAAATTTATACCAGAGAGTCTTACTTTTGTCAGTGAAACTGAAGGCAAATCTGTACTCTGAGAGACTAAGCAAAGGGCACTTGCAGTACAAGAACATTTGAGAAAGATGCTATGAAGAACTGGAGGAAGGACTGGCCTAGGGCCTACTAAAAATTGAGGATGGAATAGTTTGTTCATCAGGTTTGCATTTTACATTACAAAATTTGCAAGGCGGGGAGCTTTTTACTCTCATGCATGTTTATATAAACTCTTAGATGATGATTTTGTCTTGTGCATCATCTGAACACAGAAATTAGTTCTTTTTTTGAGATAGTAAAATCGATTTTGACCTGAGACATTTTTCATATAATCTTTTTCTTTTTTTTTTTTTAACAAAGGTTTAGGATACAAAAATATCTATCAAAAGAATGGTGATCCATTACATGTAAGTGAACTCCTGGAGAGTTTCAAAAAGGATGCAAGAAGCTTTAAATTGAGGGCTGGAAAACATCAACTTGAAGATGTGACAGGCGTATTGAAGAGTTTTCTCTCTGACATTGATGATGCACTTCTCACTAAGGAACTCTACCCGTATTGGATCTCCGCCTTAGGTAATACATAAATTACAAAATAAAGGCTTGCCTTCTCATTTGATAATAGATTTTTAAAATCACCTCTGATAATCTGAACATTTAATTGAAAGGAACAGTGTACAAATGGCTTAGAACAGGAATTGTAAATTAGCTGTTATATGTGCCTCAAAAGAAATTTATGGTGATAGTTGCTAAAGTCTTTTATGATAATATTTAGTTTTTGGTAGACTTCTTAGTGCTTACTTTGCCTTAACTTTGGAAGTGTTAATAGTTAAGTCCATGTAGGCTATTAATTTCTCATTAAGATTAAAATGAAATGTTTATTACAACATCGGTTTTACATGGTTTTAACATATGGCTTTTTGGCTTTCTTTTCCATTCATTCTGCCTCTTTAGAGTTACATGACAAAAGATCTTTTTACTCTTCATTTTTTTTCATATTCTGTCTAATGAAGTAAAATATCTTTGCTACACTCTAAGAGAACTTATTTAAGAAATAATCTTAGAAAACCAGTTTATTAAATCAGCTGCATGTGTGTTAAATCACTTCAGTTGTGTCAGACTTTTTGTGACCGTATGGACTATAGCCCACCAGGCTCCTCTGTCCATGGGGATTCTCCAGGCAAGAATACTGGAGTGGGTTGCCAGGCCCTCCTCCAGGAGATCTTCCCAACCCAGGGATCAAACGCATATCTATTATGTCTCCTGCATTGGCAGGTTGGTTCTTTACCACTAGCACCACCTGGGAAGCCCTATTAAATCAGATAATGGGTCAAATTGATTTCAGTAAAACCTACATTTACCTCCATTAATTCAAAGTAACTCCTTTTTTAGAAACATGATAAAACATATTTTAAAATAAAAATTTTGCCTTTAATCCCAGATTTCTAATAGAGCTATTTTCATTTTTCACATTATTGACTATATGATGTTTTTCTGTTGAGAAATAGTTTCTTCCATTGAAAGTATTTGTTTAAAACATAAATATGAAATTTGAAGGGATTAATTTTGAAATGCCACAAAACATCTGTAGTTGAAAAATAATCCCAAGATTGACCCTTTTTGTCTCAGCAAGAAGAGAGTAGTATTGTTATTAAAATAAAACTCTTCACAATATAACTACTTAATTCAGAAGTCTTTTCCTTGTTTCCTATGTTTTTCAAATCAATAGTTTTAATTCTAATCACAATGAGAGTTGATTGTATAATTTTCTGGAATATAGAATTAGGTAATACATCTTTTTAAGCACAATTGCCCTGCCACCCTCACTTTTGTTTTAAGATTTTATTGTATTTCATAACCATGAAATTATTTATAGTACCTCTATTTTATAAAGACTTACAATTTGCCTTTATTGTAAAATCAGTCATCAAAAATCTATGACAAATATGCTTTTGCTGAAGTTGTCAAACTTAATGGCAGAGAGGTCTTCATTGTTAAACTACAGGAGAAGGTAGTTGAGAAACAGCATGTGTCAGAGAGGAGTGTGTTCACCTTCCATTTGGATGTGAATCCCTGAGAAATTACTTTGAGAAGGCTTCGACTACTAGTGTTGAAAGTTCTTTGCTTTCAGATCCGTTGTAGCTCACCCTGACCTGTCAGAAAGTACCCGTTGTTGGATCTGACAGAAGTCAACCAGAACTTACTGGATGACCTCATTGGAGAGCTCTCTTGGGTCCTGTGCGCCCAAGGCGAAGAACGTCCTACAGTTGCCTAGTACCTGTTTATATGATATACACGACTTCTTCTAAGAATGCTATTAAATTGTCTGAAGGCTGTGACTGGTTGAATAGTTGTATTTTCTATATGACCTAAAATCTATCTTCAGTTTCCTTTCCAGTTACTCAAACTTCATTTTGAAAATATCATCTATTTTATTCTTATAAGATTTGTGAAAATAGGCTATACTAGCATGTGCTTGTTATAAGCATAGTAGTGTAGTATTAATTACATTTAATTGAATAAATACAATTACCTCAGTTAGAAACTGGAAGACATGAGGGGAAACATTTGGATTATAGCAAGAATGACAGCTGATTCTTAATTCACTTCTAGTATAGTCTTTGAATGTTACTGGGGTGTCTTCCCCTCTTGCTTTTAGACAGTCATCCATCAGCATGGTTGAGTCAATATAACCATGTTTACTTTTATAGATCTAGTGTGCAGGTGAAATCAGTACAAAGGAGCTATGAGTTCCTGTTTTAAATAGGAGTGTACTTCAAAAATGTGTCACAGAATTTCTTACCTCCCCAGGGACCTGAATGCCCTTTACAAGTGACTGTGTACTTTGAAAGAATCACTAATGTGCCTCTGGCTTTCTGTGAATAGAATGTGTAGGGTTAAGCAGAAAATGAAAAAGCCTTGTTTCCAAAGGTAGCTGGGAATTGAGAGGGAATATATAAGTGCAATCTGCTTGAGTTACAGAGTCAGCACAAGCTATTTATTTAAAGGAAGGTCTCTTATTTCCCCTGTGAAAGAATAGGTTAGACCAGACCACACTGCACAACCTCTGGGCTCTAGAACTTTGGGGTTCCTGTGCAGTTACTTTTAAGCGTTTTTTTGACTTCTTAGGGTTCGGAGAGTGGAGGAGAGTAGTTCCTTCTTGTCCTCCTCTTCATGCCAAGTTCTAACCATGACAAAAGCAGAGGATCCATCTATCCTCCTCTCAGTCTGTATCACTGTTACCAGGGCCCACACATGACTTATTCCACTGCCCCCCTAACCTTCTCCAAAGAACTGAAATTTCCAGGGCTGGCCAAGGGCCCTTTGCATGGATCTGTGGGGTTAATGTACAGTTCATAGTTCTGGGATGGGTCAGAGTATAGGGAAGATTTTTATGATACTAACAAGGAAAAATGGTCAGACATGTCATTTTCTAATAACAAATAGTGAGACGTTTCCATAGCTATAGTTAAAATACTTTTGGCTCATCTCTTCAATTTGTAGGCTAATTTGTTACTACTTGAAAATAGTCCTTTTAGTTGAAGTTCAGTAGAATGTAGCATTGAAGATAAAATACAGACCTGGGTTTTAAAAGTACTTTAATTACAAAATATAAGAGCTATGACATATAGCCGTGGAATGTTTATGTAAATATCAAATATTTTTCCAGGATTAGAGAAGTTTGAGTGTTTTCTGTTTTGAAACTTGATTGTGTCAGTGAAATACAGTTGTGAATATTGTTTTAAAATACTGATAAAAGGCAAATTGGTAATGTAGATGATTAGTTAGACCTAAAGTTTCACGTGTGTGTGTTTAACCTCTAGATACCCAAGATGACAAGGAGAGAATTAAAAAGTATGGAGCATTTATACGTACTCTTCCTGGGGTGAACCGGGCAACCTTGGCAGCTATAATTGAACACCTTTACAGGTGGGTAGGTTCATAAACTTTTCCAGATATTTCAGATATGGCATTCAGTAAGTCATTTTTTAAAAAAAATTTAAAGTACTGTGGTTAACCTTCTTCTATTTGTGAATGTAAATCTTCCACCATATCTTAAGAATGGTTTCAAAATGGAATTCCCATAAACTGTCAGTTTAGTGTCTCTTAATGCAATTAATAAACATTTCAAATAAATAGCCCTGGAGAATTTCTTAAATGGATTAGAAATAATCATATATCACCTTCTCAGATACATCCAGTACATAAAACAAGAATTTTAAAACATTTTGATGTCAGACTATTGATTAGATAAGGGAAATTTCAAAAGCCAAAACCATTTTCTATGTCAGGGCATGTAGTCCCCTGCATTTGGGAGGCTAGGAGGAATAAAATGGTAGCTTGAGAAATGACATCTGAAAAATCAGGGTGTTTGGGAATACCATTTTAAGCCAACAAACTTAGGTTTGTTTATTTTGCTATGAGCAAGAATTATTACAAAAACTTAAATCAGTGTAAATATTGCTTGAGGAATATACTGTTGGCAGCTTCCTGCATGGATGCAGTGTTCCCTTGAGTAAATTTCTGTGAAGCTGAATTCTACTGAAAATACCTTAGTTGAAGTTTAGATTCCTAAATCCCCACAGTTTGTCTTGTCTTCATCTTTCTTTTCCAGCCACTACTTCTCATGCATGTAAAGTCCATTACTGTGCATCTGATTTTCTTATTGTGCCACACAAATATCGTCGATATACTGTAAGGTCCTATCTCTATGCCTAAGAGACACTGGGACAGGTTTTTTTCTTCTTCACAGATTTCAGTATGTGACCTGCTGCTACAATTATCAGTTCATATTTTAAACATTGAGTTGCATATAATTCTTAAACTTCTTAATTCATACTTGAATTTCAGATAATGAGCTACTTCCTATCCTTTGTTTAACTAATATTTATTTTCCCTCCTACTATACACAATGCCCATTAAGAGACCATGTGAACAGAAATGATTGCTAATAGTACATGAATAACAAAAATAGTCTTAAGACTGCAGTTTCCAAATAGCACCAAGGAACCCTGAGACATCACAGCGGGGATGAGGACTTACAGGGATGCTGCAGGGCATTTTATACATTTTAGGAAAACACAACACTGTCAGCACAGATTTTAAAAGAGAGAATTTTAGCATACAACATGAAATTAAAGAGGAAGGATCGAGTGATACATCATTGTGTGTTGAGATCCAGGTGATGTTTCAGATCTAAAAGGATAAATGAACTGGGCATGACAGAAAATTAAGTAACAGACATGAGTGAGGGATATTTTCAGGAAACATGTGTGCTAGAAGATGAGATGGTTTGTAGCTGGCTGGCATCAGGCTGTGAAAGGCTCTGTTCATTGTGCAAAAACATTTGGATTTCATTCCTTTGTGTAATAAGGAGTGACTGATCCAATCTGTTTTAGGATAATAACCCATGTCCTGGAATTGATTGGGAAGAGGTTAGAAGAGAGACAGAGAAACCTACTTAAGACACAATTTCTGTGGACTTCTAATGAGAAAAGCTGAGTGGGAAGAGAGTAACCTGGCTGAATATGGGACACTTGCAGATACTAGTGTGGGAGCAGGGAAATAAAGGAAGAAAAGGAAAATACATAGTGGACATATTTATGCCAGTAATTCAGGCAGTTACAGAAACCAAAGAGGTGATAAGTGCTAGAGGGGAATGCTCAGGAGAGATGAGGATATTTGACAGTGTCATCAAAGTTTGAGAGGTCAGTGTGGATAAAGTCAGATTGATTTAGCATTCGCTTCTATCCGTGCCCTAGTTAACAGATCACTTCCTCCATGACTAGTATTGACTTAATTCCCTTCACTGTATATATTTATGTTCTGCACTCCAGTGTGATTAGGGGCTTTCCTAGTGACTCAGTGGTAAAGAATCCATCTGCCAAGCAGGAGAGGCATGTTTTGATCCCCAAGTCTATTTCCCTGGAGAAGGAAATGGCAACCCACTCCTCAACCCACTCCAGCATCCCCACCTAGGAAAATCCATGACAGAGGAGTCTGGCAGGCTACAGTCCATGGGGTCACAAAGCGTTGGACACAACTTATGACTAAACCGCCACCTCCACAGTATGATTAACAGAAAGTCTCTGACTGTGAGATGCTTAGATTCTAATAGTAACAGAGGCAGACTTGAAGATAAAATTTCAAAATATTTACAGTCTAGTGTGATTAAAAAAAAGTACAGAGTGGTTTTGAGAGGGATGCCCATAATTATGACATCCTCCTCTATTAACTTGCAATGCCTTTTGCATCTTATAAATCATACATGATGATCAAACTTGCTCTGTCTCCCCTATGCAATTTGGCATTTCATTGTGAGTTTCTTACACTATCATATGTATCGCTGTCATATTTCCGTATTTTTCTTGTACCTACTAGAACCTTTGCCCTTTATAGTCAGGTGTGCCTACCTAGTCTTGCTTTATTCCTTAGATAGAGTTGATTTCCCTTTTTAGCATGTGTTTTAGAAATTCACAAATGTAATTAGACAGTCAATTAAGCAGCTGTTATGTCTACAGTCAGTGATAGAATTAACTGACATTTCCATGGGCATCAGGTAGAGTTCTGCATTTTTATCATTGTAAATTTCCTTTTATTGGGGTGATGGCTATGGTTTTTTTCTTAATTACTTTGAACTTAAACATTTGTGAATACTTGAAAGTTCTTTGTAAAACTGGTGTTATAGATTGGGAGAATTGACTCTTTTCATGTCTGTTCATTGTAAAAAGTGATTGCTTTCTGAGAGGTGTCTTATTTTGAATAACCTTTCAAACACTTTCAACCAGGCATTTTCTCACCTGATAAGGATGTGCTGGGAAATTCAACAGTTGCCCTGAACCTTGAATTTGGAACTCTTTATGCCTCCCAATTTGCCATTCTTGCCTTATTTCCTGCTTACCTACTGCCCCATCCCTCTTTTATTTATGCCTCCATCCTGCAAGTCATTTGACACCTTTCTGCAAGCACACCTTTGTGCCTTAGGTACAGGTTGTCCCATCTGTAGAACTGTCTGGATATTGGGGAGAGGGGTCCTTCTTCTAAAGCGATGATCAAGTACTGCTTTGTAACTTGTAGTAATATCTTTGACAGTAGTCTTTTCTAACGTTCTTAAACCTGAAGGATACTTGGAAGAAAGAACTGTGTATTTTTCTTTAAATCACCACTCCACCTTCAGTATCACTAACTTTCAATATGTTTGTGTTTAAAAAATAAAAGAGGATAAATGAACATGAAGCCATAAGTTTTATGAAATGTTCACATAGAAATGTTGTAACAAGCACTGCTTTTTTCTAACAGGGTTCAGAAATGCTCAGAAATCAATCACATGAGTGCCCACAATTTGGCCTTGGTTTTTTCCTCCTGTTTGTTTCAAACTAAGGGACAAACTAGTGAAGAAGTGAATGTAATCGAGGACTTAATTAATAATTATGTTGAAATTTTTGAGGTAAATATTTTATATCCTGCCCTTGTTAAAATAGTTTTGATGTTATTGTTTGCAAACAAAAATATGTATTTTAGGATGTCTTTATTCACGTCTTTAGGAATTTTTAAAAATAAACGATAGGTATATGATCCTTCACTTTTCAGATATAACTAACATTTTAAGCTATAGCCATTCATTTAAATTTGGCTGCTTCTAAAGCTTTCTTACCATCTGGTGTCTGTTGCACAGAATATTTCTATTTATAGTGTTTTTATGTTTTTTTTCTCAGTATGTGTATGCATTAAGTGTGTCTATTTAGAGGTGTGAAATTATGAAATTCAAAAATTCAGTAAATTACATCAGACTGATAAATTTTGCAGTTGAAAGCATTTTAGAGTTTTCATTTAGTTGTGCATGAATTGGAAAAAATTCTGAAGTAATATTCTGTGGTTTTTATTAAGTCATCTCTATTCTAATTATCTGATTTTTCAATTTGCTATTTTATGAAGTTCATATTTTCATGTTTCATCAGAAAACTCTTGGAATAGGGATAATTTTTTATTTCAAAGGAGTAAAAACAGAGGAAATAAGCCTAGGATTTCAATATGGTGGGGTGGATATAGGGGACCTGGGTCAAAGGTCCATTTCCACTGCTTGACTAATTCTATCATCTCAATATTGTTATTAAACCTTTCTGGGCATTCTGTTCAATAGTCTTGTACAAGATCCCGTGTTTTCCAGAATTGCGTCTTTACCAGATGATCAAATAGGTTAATGTAATAGGTTAACTTTTGTAGTTCATACATTCTTATAATAACTCATCACAAGATTGCTTAAAAAAGGAAAAGAAAGTATTTTAAATAAAGTAACAAAGTTCATATCTTAATTTATGTAGGAATGAACAGTTGTTGAATTCTCTTTGTTCCTTGAGTTCCTTTTATCTCTTCCTTTATGTGTCCACTGTTTTTGATCAATAGCGTCTTCACAATAGTTCTGATGCTGAGAAATGAAAGACTTTGAAAAAATAAATGTGTGGCTTTGCATGCTCTCTTGATTTTCTGTTTTTGTACTGTTATAGTAGAAAAATGTTTATCTACATAGTTTTGTTAAGTCCAGCTTTAACCAAATGGTGGAAACTTCATAAGCCCTTAGTGAACATTTCTGATAAAAGAAGTCTTTACTCTCAACGTACATAAACTCTGCTGAATCCTTCATCAGCCACTTTGCTTATTAATGCACCTCAGCATAGGGGATGCCACTGATGGAATGTGTAGCCTAAAGTGCTATCATCATAAGATATTCTGAACTTTATGAGCCTCTATGTTGTTGGCTTTATATCTTCCCTAGCTGTGTGGGCCCCCGCTGATGAAGATGGCCATGCTCATTTATTTTGAACATGTCAGTCTTTAAATTCCTGAAGAAAGTTATGTGAGGATGAGTATCATCACTCCTTGTATTTTATTAGAATGTCCCAAATTATATTTTAAACAGGTTAAAGAAGACCAAGTCAAACAAATGGACATAGAGAATAGCTTTATTACCAAGTGGAAAGACACTCAAGTGAGTAGTAATAGTTAGATCTCCAATTTTAAAAAATTAAAAAAAAAACAAACAACAAAACAAAACAAAAACTTTCATTGTAAGTAAACATTTGTTGTGTTTTTTTTCAAACTCCTATTTGAAGCAAAGTAAAACTAATGGGGGGGAAAAACCTAGATAAAACAGTTGTGAAATTCTGTAGCATGACACATACAAAATGCCAAAGTATGCTAATGTAATGTTTTCAAAACATAAATGGAAAAGTCAGTTCTAATCTTATCACAATGTCCTTTTTGAAATCAGTTTTCATTTATGAAGCACTATTGAAAATACTAGTGGATTTCAAAGGAAGCATTTAAATTCAAATACTAAAATAAACAGAAAATTCAGGCTCCCTAATGATTCTTTCTGTTATCTTTTGAAATTGTAAGTTATTTCTTACATGCTTTTGCTCTGCATGCTCTTGGATGATTGCACTAGTGGGACTGCTTCTGTACTTCCTAACATGTTAATTTATGTCTTAAGTTGACTTTTCTAGATCTTCCTTACTTTCCTCGGTTGCATCATATTGGATCTGTGTGTTCAGGTTGCACTACTGCTTTTCCAGGGTACCTGTCCTTGTTTGATGAATATTCACTGGACTTTTTTGAAGCTGGCTTTGTCTTCTAATAACTAGCAATTATAGTGGATTCAGGGTACCAATGTAGATTAGACAAATGGGTCAAAGAAATTCTCTTTGTAGGTACACTCAGAGTATGAGGTGAATGCTTTCTTATTAGTCAAGCCCCAAGTTCACTTCATTCCTGTAATACAACTAATTCAGAGAAATTGTCAGAGCTGTCATTCCATATGAGGGAGATGAGGAAAGGTTCATTCAAATGCGTGGATCCCCTAGTACCAGTGAAAGTGAAAGTGTTCGTCACTCAGTTATGTCTGACTCTTTGTGAACCCATGGACTGTATGTAGCCCGCCAGGCTCCACTGGCCATGGAATTCTCCAGGCAAGAATACTGAAGTGGGTAGTCATTCCCTCCTCCAGGGATTCTTCCCGATCCAGGGATCGAACCCAGGTCTCCCACACTGCAGGCAGATTCTTTACCGTCTGAGCCACCAGGAAGCCCACTATTGTGAGATTAATTCTGTAAGAAAGTGTTTCCTCCATTTTGAACCAAAGTAATTAATGCAGCCTCCAGAGGACTTGGCAGTAACACTAAAAAAATGTGGCTCATTAGCAGTTGGTTCTCTTGGATTCTTGCTTTTTGGAGAGAGTTTCAGATATGAAACAAAGGATTGTGTGAGCCTAAGGGTAATCTTTGGCAGCACTATCTATATTGTTATTGGATAAAGTATGAGTACCATTCTGCAGTTTTATCATTTGTATTCATACTACAATAAAGAAATGAGTCTTGAATACTTTCTAATTAAGTAGAAGTAAGTATTGCTAAAATAAGAAAAGAATTGTCTATAAAAGAAAGCAATTTGGAAGAAAAGTAGAACAGTTTGGAAAAAATCTGTTGTTTTGCTGGAGTTTTTCTCCAGTCCATTCAAAACTTCTCTGAGGAAGTTTTCTGACAGACTCTAAGTCTTATCCCTGTTTGATTTTCTGAGCTATTCTTGTTCTTGGCTACACTCTATGAATTCTTTGTGTTTGCTTTTTTAATTTTTAAAATGTGTCCTTCCCGGAGAGTTGTTTATACAAACACAGGGAAAAGTAAAAATGTCAACTGTATCTTTTCTTCCGTAGCATTTTTGTGTAGCTCTAAACATAAGGAAGAAAAATCGGAAATAAGCTTTTCTAAGCCTGTAGTGTCAGAATAACTATGAACAGCTCTTCAAAGTACATTTTTAATGTTTGCCCCATACATTTACTCAGCAGGTTTTATTCTGAGGCAAATTTAACTTTGAAATGATCATTTCTCCATTATGATCTTTTTCTAAAAATGAGTGATGGATGTGGCTTCTAAGTGATTACATAACTTAAGGGAATTTCTGAAAAAAGCAACTCAGAATATTTTTCATAGATTTGTTTGGTTCTTTGTTAATCTTCTTCACATTATTCTGTCAATCTACATAGTGACATTTTACGCTTTGTATTCCCTGCTTTCTGTTTTCTTCACATAGTGTGTCTTAGGTATAATAGTGACCCAAATAACTTAGCACTTGATGTTTGGCTAAAGGTAATTAAAATAGAAACTTTATTATCTTCTTATATTCTGTCACTTCACTTTTAATTTTTGTTGCTAAATATACATTTTCTATTTGTAGTTTTAATACAGCTCTGACCTAATTTATCTTCAGATTTCAATTTTTGGCCTTCCCATCTCAGTTTCTCCTGTAGCCAGATGCATTACTTCAATAAGAATGTTAAGGGTATATGAGGACACTATTCTTTTGAGTAAAAGATAAGAAAAATGGTATGTGATTATGTTTGTTGATTATACATGTGTGTAGATTCCACATCCTTAACTATATCCAGAAAACAGGTATTATTATGTTGTTAACAGGGAGATTGATCCCATTTCATTATTATAAAATTTTTAGAAATATGACTAGGACTTTTGAACCATCTTAAGTATTGTGTGTGTTCTTGCAGCATACTTATATTTGCTGTCTTTGCATCTGCCCTTTTTAGGTTTCCCAGGCTGGAGATTTGTTAATTGAAGTATATGTAGAAAGAAAGGAGCCTGACTGCAGTATTATAATTCGGGTGAGTCCCAAATATGGAATGCAAAGAATACTGTTGAAAATCATAAATGTTAGCATTAGTCTGCATATCTTGAATTTCCCATTGTTTTTTTCTATCTTATTTTATATGTCCAATTCAAATCATGACAAGTTTGACTGTTCCTGCCAATATCCTCTGGGAATCCCATGTTTTAGTCATTTGGAGACCACCCTATGTTCTTTTGGTTGTGGTTAGGATGTTCTATCGGAGAAGGCAATGGCACCCCACCCCAGTGCTCTTGCCTGGAAAATCCCATGGACGGAGCAGCCTGGTGGGCTGCAGTCCATGGGGTCGCAAAGAGTCGGACACGACTGAGCGACTTCACTTTCACTTTTCACTTTCATGCATTGGAGAAGGAAATGGCAACCCACTCCAGTGTTCTTGCCTGGAGAATCCCAGGGACGGGGGAGCCTGGTGGGCTGCCGTCTGTGGGGTCGCGCAGAGTCGGACACGACTGAAGTGACTCAGCAGCAGCAGGATGTTCTATTGAACAGCCTGAGCTCTAACATCTGCTACTCATCGCCCTACCTTCCTGACATGAGGCAACGGATATACTCCCATCTGAGTCTCTATCTTCTTACCTTTCTAATGAGGGAAAATTACAGTATTTATGTAATAGCATTAATTTGAGGACTTGGTAAGATCCTGCCAGTAAAACACTTAGCAGATATCATGGTACGTAGTCAGTTCAGTTCAGTCGCTAAGTCATGTCCAACTCTTTGCGACCCTATGGACTGCAGCACACGAGGCCTCCCTGTCCCTCGACAACTCCTGGAGTTCACTCAGATTCATGTCCATTGAGTCACCGATGCCATCCAACCATCTTGTCCTCTGTCATCCCCTTCTTCTCCTACCTTCAATCTTTCCCAGCATCAGGGTCTTTTCAGATGAGTCAGTTCTTGGCATGAGGTGGCCAAAGTACTGGAGTTTCAGCTTCACCATCAGCCCTTCCATGGAATATTCAGGACTGATTTCCTTTAGGATGGACTGGTTGGATCTCCTTGCAGTCCAATGGACTCTCAAGAGTCTTCTCCAACACCACAGTACAAAAGCATCAATTCTTTGGCACTCAACTTTCTTTATAGTCCAACTCTGACATCCATACATGACTACTGGAAAAACCATGGCCACATGGTACATAAGTGCTTAATAAATAACAACTAGTATAAACCCCACCCCTGTATCCTAGACTTAGTTGTTGTTTTGTCACTAAGTTGTGTCCAACTCTTTGCAACCCCATGGCCTATACCCACCAGCCTCCTTTGTCCATGAGATTCTCCTGCCAAGAATACTGGAGTGGGTAGCCATTCCCTTCTCCAGGGAATCTTCCCAACCCAGGGATTGAACCTGCATCTCCTGCATTGGCAGGTGGATTCTTTACTGCTGAGCCACCAGGAAAGCCGATCCTAGACTTTAGCTTCCAATATTTCAGTGTACTGGAATATGAAATAACTCTTCTCTTCCTTGGTAACTTTAGTTAACTATTTGTTTTGAATTTAAAAGGTCCTTCTCATGTTACCATAGTCTGTACTTGGTCATCCCTAAGAGAGTAAGACTGCTTTCTTTGTGCATAGGATAGACATGCTGCCATCCAACAGTAGGAATTCAGCTTTAGCTTCTTGGCTTTTTTAAAGTGCAAGATAAAACAGAGTCTTAACATTAAATATTTCTGGAATTTAGTTATGTCAAAGATACTGTAATATTTTATATATGTTTAATGATTACATACGGGGATATTCTCAGTTGGCACAGTGGTAAAGAATCCACCTGCAGTGCAGAAGACACAGGTTCGATACCTGGGTCAGGAAGATCCCCTAGAGGAGGAAATGACAATCCATTCCAGGATGCTTGTCTGGACAATCCCTGGGACAGAAGAGCCTGGCGGTTATAGCCCATGGGGTTGCAAAGGGCTGGACAAACTGAGCGGCTCAGCGTGCACACGCACAGATGATTACATATGATTCTTTGACACTGGTTACTCAGCTGTGGAACTGACATGAGCTGCCTTGCGCTCCATGGCCACATCTGTTTGTTATGCTGAACATGTGATGCTGATCACAGGGGACATGAGGAAGTAGTAGAGATATCTCGGCATAAGTCTATTACTTATGCTGAAACGGATAGTCAAAGCACATGACCTAACTCCACTTACCCATAAACTCTTCACTAGTTCATTTTAATTTTATCTAATAGAGCCATAACAAGTTATTAAAATTGAGCAAAATTCATATTTTAAGTATACTCACATAAAAGAGTGTCTAGTTTCACCTACAAAAACTCTAAATTCTCTTGAAAAACATAGCAAGAACTGTACAAAAATAAACATCCAGTTAGTGCTTAAGACTTTGCACAGCTCTTATATTTATTTCAGCGAATCATTACCTCAATCCAAGGAGGTAGGTGAAGCAGATGATGTCTCATGTTCATATGGGTAGAAATGGGAATTAATAACACTAAGGCCTGGATGCAAACATTAGTCATGATATTCCAAGTCTGATGTTCATTATGTTGGTTTGTGTATCACCTAGAGTAATTAATTCCAAAGTGTGCTTTGTAGAGTTCTAGGTGTTCTGAAGAGGGGCCTTGGTTATCACCTGGAACAAGGAAATGAGTTCCAATTTTCCATTCCTATGTCACCCTGAGGACCTCCCTGCCGACTATTTCACTAGTTTGGTCTCTCAGTAATTTATTTTTTTAAGGAAGGGCTATACATCTTAAAAAATTGTAAAGCCATTCTGATGAGCGACATCACTGAAATCATCCATCTACTAAGGTTTCTACTTAAAATTCTCTGCTTTTGCCATATGCTAATTTTTTTTCCTCTTAAGGTTGTACTACATTGAGCTTTTCTAAACAGCAAATAATGGACTTCACTGCATCATTAATATATTCCAAGTCAGTGCTAGTCGCTCAGTCATGTCCCAACTCTTTGCGACCCCAGCCCACTAGGCTCTCTCCAGTCAAGAATACTGGACTGGGTAGCCCTTCCCTTCTCCAGCGGATCTTCCTGACCCAGGAATTGAACCCAGATCTCCCGCTTTTCAGGCAGATTCTTTACCATCTGAGCCACCAGGGAAGCCTAATATATTCCAAAGGTATCACTAAATTCCACGAACTCCAAAAGACAGACTATATGAGTTACCTCTAATGAAAGATGTTTTATGTTATTTATATATGTGCAATATGCTTATGATCAATAAAGGACAGGAGAAATGTAAATGAGCACATTTTCTAAGAAAATTTTAATAGGTGCATACTTGTACTGAAAATGTGGAAAAGAGGCTGCAGCTGCTGTATTCTAGTGCTTAAATCGTGTTCTATTTGTTTAGCATGGTAACTAAATTGTAATTGGAGAAAGCCAACTTGCTTGTGGCCAGCATGCCTGTAAGACTGGTAAAAACGAAAACAGGAAGAAAACAAATGAAAAATCCCCAAAGTCCCTGAAGAAGATGGTGTGCTTATGCAGTGGCCCGGGGTTCTGAGACTTTCAGAGAGCCGGCCCCCAGGCTGACGCAGAAGACTCTGCCCTTGGCCTGAAAGCAGACTTTGGCGTCCCAGCATCTGTCACTTGGCATGGCGGGTCACACCACTAAACCTGGGGCTTTTGGCATGGTAGACAGCAGTCAACTGTGTATATATAATTTAGAGCCCAAACTGAATAACTGAGCCATTCTGAACTCCTGGTTATAGAACTGAGTGAAAAGATTTTTGGCTATAAGGCCATAGGATCCAATATCTGTGGAAGGTCTTTCTGAGTGTGAATCGGTATATTCTTCCCTTTTTGAGTTATTTAATTGTTCACTGAGTTTTAAAAAAAAAGTCTTCCCGGTTATATGGGCACTTTTTACACATACATGAAAATGCATTACATTATGGAGAAGATCTGAATATGCTGTTTCCCCTAGGTGCTTAGAGAAACTAGTTAAATGTACTAAGAGGACACTTGTAGTTATCTTTAGGTGGTAGATGGTGGGCAGGTGTTATAGCCCTAGCATAAGGCCACTTCTGTGTTTGACATATATTCTGAAGAAATTGTGCTTCTCCTGCAGATATCTCCTGTGATGGAAGCAGAAGAGTTAACTAATGACATATTAGCAATAAAAAATATAATTCCTACAAAAGATGATATCTGGGCCACATTTGAAGTAATAGAAAATGAAGAGCTTGGTAAGTGGTTCTCATGCTAGGAATTTTTAAATTCCTTAGAGTGTGAAGAAATGATATTTTTGTGAAAAATCATTACTAACATTTTATGTTTTTCTAAAGTTTCACATCCTATTATGACTCCCCTTCTACTTCAGTGCATGCATTGATATATGTTCATGCTACTTGAGGTTGCCCTCCTATGATTTCATTATTAAAATAATTAGATTGTTTTATTGACTGTAAGTTTATAGTGTAAAACATTAGTTGTGTATGTTGCTGCCTCAGGAAATAAGGCCTCATTTTTAAGAACAGGCAGTGTGATTTGTAACAATATTCTAAATGTCACCACCACCATCTAGCTTATTCTACCTTATTCCTATATGCTGCTTATTTAACAAGGATACCGATTTAAAAGATTATTATTTTAAAAGTTAATTTTGTTTTAAGCCTAGCAAAAGGTTCCTTTTTAGTTTTTTTCTTTTTCATCTATCTTTAGTGGAGTGGATCAGATATTTTGTCATTTTTTTTTAATCTCAGGTACAGAAGAATAAAGAGAGATTTTAGAATGTGTTGACCACCCCAAGAATAATAAGCCTAACATTCTTATAACACCATTTGGTTTTAAAGACCTCTAGGGAAAAAAAAAAAAGATGCAGAATGTCTTTGTATCTTGACCATCTGTCTAGTTGATACCTGCTCAGGTCTTGGGACTCTTTCAAGTATAGATGTCAAACTGCCAAAAGTAAAATCTTGCCACCTGCATGCTCAATACAAAAATTAAAATTGAACATTAAAAATACCTCACTGTGTATTATTAAGAGTCTTATAACCAGTGTTAGAATGAAATGGGATTATCAAATACTTTGTCTTTCCTTGTTCCACCTTGATGTTTTTTTTCCTTTATTCTTTTTATTGTGCATTATTCTTTAAAAATGTAATTTGTTTTAAAACACTACTTTCCAGTATTCATCGCCAGGATTCAGTGACACTGGTCCTTTGGCGTCAGATCACACTGTCTCCCCCACCACAGTCAGACTCAGCCTGGCCTCTCATAGAAGGCGTTTTGCCCAATGACTCCAGTAACGCTCCGCCTGCCAAGTCCAGTGGATTTGCTTCTGGCTTTACTTTGCTTCTTCTCACTGTAGCATTGATTGCTAATGACCATTCCCTTTTACTTGGAACACATTCACTCTGTTTTCATTGCTGCTTTGATTCTCTTCCTAGTGCTGGAATTGTTTTATCTCATTTGTCAATTCTTCTTCCTCTGTCTGTCCCCAAATAGTGAGTTTCTGCTGCTGCGCTGATCTTTTTTTTACCGTCTTTTCTCCTTTTGCTTTCTTTAGAAGACAGTCACTAAAGAAGACAATCACTTCTATACCTTGTGCTTGACTAACATGCAAGAAGGTGTTGCGCAAGTGCACCTTTATTCCTGCCCCTCTGGCCCCTGGTTTACCTCCTTTTAAACCCAGACTAAGGTTCCATTGCATTTGTCTTGTTGTTCTTGTTTGTTTTCTATGGTGCCTATCACATGGATTTATTTTTGTCTTTCTTGATGAGAGATCTTTAGAGGGAACAAGGGACTCTGTTTCTATCTCTAGTACAGTTTTTATCTCTGACAACAGTGCCTAATAACAGTTGCTATACAATTAAAATCTTTTGCGTAAGTGAAGCACAATTTTGTATTACTGTATAGTTCAGTAGTGGTAAAGTCTTGACTTTGATTATTTAATTTTAAGGAGAAGTGGGTAGGTTACCAGCTTCATTTGTGAGTAAAAGATAACTGTCAGCATTACTGCCTAAATTATCTTTGTAAATCACAAATAGGTTCATATTGTTGTAAAATCATTTAAAACCCTTTCATTATTGGGAAAAGACAGTCTCACCAATAAGTTATACTGGAAAAACTGGACAGTTTCATGTAAAAGAATAAAATTAAAATGTTTTCTTACACTGTATACAAAAATTAATTTAAAATGGTTTCAAGACTTAAATGTAGGACCTGAAACCTTAACACTCCTAGAAGAGAATGTAGGCAGAACACTCTTGGACATAAATTGTAGCAATATGTTTTGGGTCTGTCTTCTAAGGCAAAAGTAATAAAAGAAAAAATAAATAGCACTGAAAAATTGATGCTTTTGAACTGTGGTGTTAGAGAAGACTCTTGAGAGTCCCTTGGACTGCAAGGAGATCCAACCAGTCCATCCTAAAGGAGATCAGTCCTGGGTGTTCATTGGAAGGACTGATGTTGAAGCTGAAACTCCAGTACTTTGGCCACCTGATGTGAAGAACTGACTCATTGGAAAAGACCCTGATGCTGGGAAAGAGTGAGGGCAGGAGGAGAAAGGGACGACAGAGGATGAGATGGTTAGATGGCATCACCATCTCAGTGGATATGAGTTTGGGTGGACTCCGGAGTTGGTGATGGACAGAGAGGCCTGGCGTGCTGCAGTCCATGGGGTTGCAAAAAGTCAGAAATGCCTGAGCGACTGAACTGAATTAAACTTCATAGCTTGTATACAGCGAAGAAAACCATCAACAAAATGAAAAGACAATCTACAGAATGGGAGAAAGTATTTGCAAATCATACATCTGTTAAGAGGTTAATAGTCAAAATATCTAAAGAACCCCTACAAATCAATAACAAAAAAAAAAATCCACAAACAGCTCAATTAAAATTGGGCAGAGGATCTGAATAGACATTTTTCCAAAGGAGACCTGCAGATGGCCAACCAGTGCATGCAGATGCTCAGCATCACCGATCATCAGGGCAATGTGTTGCTAAATCGAAACCACGATGATCTATCATCTCACAGTTGTCAAAGTGGTTGTCATCAAAAAGTCTATAAATAGCAAATGTTGGTGAGGATGTGGAGAAAAAAGAACTCTAGTATACTGTTGATTATGTAAATTGGTGCAGCCACTATGGAAAACAGTGTGGAGGTTCCTCAGAAAAACTAAGAATAGAATTACTGTCTGATCTAGCAGTTCCACTCATGGGTACATTATCTGGGAAAGACAAAAAAATGTGATTTGAAAAGATACATGCTACCCAATGTTGATAGTGGCATTATTTACAGATATGCTTGCAGACGAGGAACTGCTGGGAGATCTCAAAGGCCTCCTTAGCTCTTAGACAGCGGATGGTCTCCTCTATGCTTCTGTTGCTGTTGATTTTTTAGGAAGTCAACAGCAGAACAGTGAATCATGGATTTGGGGTAGGCATCCTCGCCCAACCCCTTAATTCTCTCAAGGGTTGAGTTAAAGGATATCCCCATGTCTCAGTTCTGGAGGTCTGTGCCTTTGGGCATTTGTCCTCCAAAATGAGAGGAATAAGCCAAATAGGTGAGGATAGGAAGGAAATATATATTTAGCTGGTACAGAGATTGCACTATATCTGGAAACACTCTTTTTAAATTTCTTCTGGGAAAATGAAGGGATGCTTATCCTGAAAATGACTAATTATCAACTTGCATGTGCCAATTAGTATATCACAAATGGTAACATTGGAGCCAGGTGTTGTTTTTGGTTTTTTTTTTTTTTTTTGGTTCCTTCTCACTAGTTAAAGAAAAGTTGATGAAAATATAAAAAGACTAGGAGGCTTCAAGCTGTTTTGACTAGTAAATGTCCAGATATATAATCAAAGGAACACCCCATGTACATCAAGAAAGAGTACATCTGATGGAGTTAGGAATTCAGATTTGGCATGGTCTTAATGTTTGGTCAACGATTCAAGTTGAAATTGCCAGAAGAGAAAACTAAGATTATTTTTACTGCTTTTAGAGGAACACAGCTAAGAAAGCCACAAAGGGACCTGTGATTATGTTGACTTACTAGAGCAGATGGGACCTGTGGAGCCACCTGACCTTCTGAAATGTTAAGAGCTTTATTTCTAGTAACATGCAGGGAAGATAAAGTGAAATGTAAGAAGAAGATAAAAGTGAAGGCATTGGTAGTCCATAAGATTGTGGTTGATAGGAAGAATGTCAGCAGGGAATTGGTGCTTTTTCTAATGTAAATATAAACCCTCCAAGTAACCAAAGCAACCAAAAATAAATACCTAAGTAAATGAATAAATAAGCAAGTGAACCAGAAGTGCTGATTTTATTTTCACTGTCTGTAAACTTTAAAACAATAGTTCTCTACCTAGTCATTTCCAATGCCTCCTTTGTGTAATAGATTTTTTTTTGGTTCCCTTTACTATCTTGAGAGACTCTACTAGAGTGGGTAGCATTCCCTTCTCCAGGGGCTATTGCTGACCCAGGGATCAAAACCAGGTCTCCTGCATTGCAGGCAGAATTTTTTTTACCATGTGAGCCCCCAGGGAAGCCCATGTAAGTGCTCTGGCCTTCCTATATGATTGAATATAATGAAAACAGATTCTTAAGTTTATCATTGGAATTATCATAGATGGGATAGCTACAAATTCATACTGATATAAGCATGTCAGTTTGTGACTCATGTATCATTAGCAGAACTGCCATCACTGGTGAAATGGTGTCTCAGTTTGTTTAGCCTGCTATAACAGAATTGGGATCGTCCCTGGTGGTTCAGACGGTAAGGTATCTGCCTACAATGTGGGTAGGCCCGGGTTTAATCCCTGGGTCAGGAAGATCCCTTGGAGAATGAAATGGCAACCCACTCCAGTACTCTTGCCTGGGAAATCCCAGGGGTGGAAGAGACTGGCAGGCTACAGTCCATGGCGTTGCAAAGAGTTGGACATGACTAAGAGACTTCACTTCACTTCATAACAGAATTACACAGGAGACATTTATTTCTTACATTTCTGGAGGCTAGGAAGTCCAAGACCAAACTGCCAGCAGACTTGTTGCTTGGTGAGGACCTGTTTCTTGGATGAAAGATGGCCATCTTTTCACTGCATCGTCGCATGATGAAATGGAACTTTAAGGGATTCCTTTTATATAAGAGCATCGAGCCCATTGGGGCTTCCCTGGTGTCTCAGCGATAAGGAATCTGCCTGCCAGTGCAGGAGACACAAGTTCAATCCCTGGGTCGGGAAGATCCCCTGGAGAAGAAAATGGCAACACATTCCAGTACTCTTGCCTGGGAAATCCCATGGACAAAGGAGCCTGGTGGGCTACAGTCGATGGTGTCACAAAGAGTCAGACACAACTTAGCAACTAAACAACAAACCCATTTAGGGGGGACTCTGCCCTCATGATTTAATCACCTCCCAAAGGCCCCTCCATCTACTACTGTCACAGTGGGAATGATTTCAGCCTGTGAATTGGGGGAGTGGGGGAACATCCAAGCCACAGCAGGTGAACAACTCTCAGCAAAATTCTGACAAAGCACGATTATTATTTTTTGTTTTTTCACTTTTGTAGTAGTCAAGATTCATGGAAAAAATACATCATGTTAAATCCATATAAAATACTTTGAGAATTTATATTAAGGCTAGTTAGATTCTAAGCTATTAGTTGATACGTAGGATTTCCTTTGAAATGAGTGTCTGAGACATTGGAAACGTGTACTAGACAGAAAACAAGTCTTTCTCTGTCTCATCCTTTGAAAGATGCCAAGCATTGTTGACCCACTGCCACCAGTGGGTCCTGATGGCGGCCATCAGGACAAGCTGAAACCCGCCTTAGGAGAGGGTATCATTTTTTACCATACTTCCGGTATTTTAATGCTTCACTTTAAGAATGAACCTGTACCCTACCAATGTAGCACTCTATCCCTTAGTTCCTTCACATGCTGAAAAAAGTTAACTGCTCATGGGGCCTCATTTAAGTGGGCTTCCTCATCGAGAGGCTTAAGTTGGTGAAGTAGCTACTTTCTACACAGCAGCATCGTAACAAAATGTTCTCCTCCTTCTCATATCTACCGTGAGATGGAAGATCAGTTCATTTTTATTCAGAGTCTTTCTGGTCCTTCTCTTGATTGACAGGGTGCTGTCATCCTCTGAGAGACTTGCATGGCTCTAGATTTGACATTAAAATTTTAATTATTAAGGAAATCATAATTGTCTCTGGAAATCCTATGTCATTACTGCCAGAAATTTAAGGATAACACCAATTGTTTCAGGTGGAAATGCATCATTCTCTGTTTAACAAGGGAGGCCAGGTTTAATTCTATGGACAAGATTTTAAAATATTGAGAACATGACTTACCTAGCTAAAGAACCACCTCCACACCCTGTTCTTAAATAATTATGCTTAATTTTCAGCAAAAAAATTAATGCTCCAGATAGTGTGAGTGCATGCTAAGTCATTACAGCCATGTCCCTCTCTTTATGACCCTGTAGACTGTAGCCCACCAGGTTCCTCTCTCCTTGTGATTCTCCAGCCAAGAATACTGAAGTGCATTGCCATTCCCTCCTCCAGGGATAAATAGTGTACAAATCAGGTTTTGTTTTTTTGTTTTTTTTTCCTAGTAATACCCTAATGCCAGCTGACTTATGTAATTTATCATGACAGATGGTTGTAAATGTAACTATTAACAAAAACTTGTTTACTTGTAGGAATTTATATTCCAACAACATTTGATGACTCAGTCCATTTTCCCTCTTACCCCTTTTATAATTGTGTCATTTGACAGTCTAGTAAGTATTTATCTTTTCATCCTATTTTTCAGCTCAGTTTTTATGCAGGAACTTGGATCTTAAGGATTTTCGTTCTCTTGAATTATTTAATATTGATGTGAAAAACATACTTGGCTAATTTTTGTAAATCTATATTTGCCTCTCTCTCTGCTGTGATATATTTCAGTGTAACTAAGAGTACCTTTGAGGTATCACTATTCTATCTACTGGTAATAGTGACACTCTTTAATACAAATGTTCTAATATTTGGAAGTCTCATTACAAATTCTTATAATAAAGGAGAGTAAGCTTTTATTTCAATCCAGGTAATTTTGCAGTTAAGAATAGCATTCCTACCTCCAAGCCAACTGCAGTATGATGAATTTCCTGGCATAAAGCATGTCAAAACTATCTTATTTCCTTACTGTCTTCTCACTAAGGATAGGAAAGTGAAGGACAAAGTGTGAATTGACATTGTTTTTCACTTTGCCTATATTATCTTTTGTCCTCAGAAATATCTTGGTGAGTTGATATTTTTTCCCTAAAATTACATATGTGAAAATCATCATGGGGAGGTTTACATATCTGTACAAAGTAAAACCAAGTGTAATAGTTATGATTTGGAGCTTGGGGCTGTTAAAGTCAGATAGATTTGAGAATCAAATCTCTGTTCCTCACTTGAATCAGCTGTTTGATCTTAGGCAAGTAGATGAACCTCTCTGATTCTTGGGTTCTTTTACATGTATATAAATAATGATAATTTGTAATGAAGTGTGTTGTAAGAGTTGAAAACAGCAGCTGATGTGAGGTAGCCAGTATATATTATGTTGATACATAGTTATTCTAGAAATGGCAACTGTTAACAGGATAAGTAGTGTCCCAGATTTTTGCCAAACCTTTTATAAATTTATTTTAAAAAACAGGATTAATGTAGCACAAAAGATTTTGCCTGATTTTAAAGAAGTATATATGTCTGCTGATCCATTTACAATTATTTACTGTTAATTTCTGGATTACCATAGAAATTTGTAAGGTATTTTATCCCCCAAGTATTTATTATTGAACATCTATTATGTACTCAGCACTCTGCTTTGTGAAAGGGGTATATTTATAAATAAGAAATAGGTTTGTCTCCAAGATGTACGACTTAGTTGCCCTGTTTTTTTTTGTTGTTGTTGTTTGCAATCACAATGCCTAGGCTTGCAAGATGCACAGAATGTAGAACTGCATTTCACTGTACTGAAGAGGAAGCAAAAAATCTAGTTATTTAAACTGGAAGGAAAAAAAACAAGTTCCAGAATGCTGTGCTAATAAAAGGGAGACCAGTACTAAAGAGAATGTGATACAATTGGTCTTTTTTATTACTTGTGACTTATGTATATATCTTGGGTAATATACAAATGTGATGCTGTTGACATAGACTTCGTTGTTTGTTATTGGCATTACTACTTTAACCAAAAACAAAAACCCTAGTAGGAGGTTATGAAAGAGTCGAGTTGACTTATAAAGGCTGTGGTACCAGGAAACTTACATCAACATCTTCACATTAGAGCTTATGTTCTTGCTATTTCAATTATGCTATTTTCAGTACACTATGAAAAGACTTGATTTTTTTCTCCCCCAGCATATGCTTCTGTTACAAGATTTTATTAAGTGATTGGCATATTTTGACTAGGCTTCCCAGGTGGCACTAGTGGGAAAGAAGCCACCTGCCAATGCAGGAGACTCAGGTTCGATCCCTGGGTTGGGAGTAGGAAATGACAACTCACTCCAGTATTCTTGCCTGGAAAATCCCATGGACAAAGGATCCTGGCTGGCTACAGTTCATGGGGTTGCAAAGAGTCAGACATGACTGAGCACGCATGTATGCACACATGCATATTTTGATCAGCAAAAAACTTTCCTATGAAATTTTTATTGTAATTCTAAAAACCTGTGGGGTTTTTTGGTTAGTTAACTCTATGCTAAGAACTTGTGATATATTTAAAAGTATGGCTGCAAAAAACAGAGTATATATGGATGAGTATTTATCAAGGAGAAATTGTGAAGATGTGATCAACTTTTTGCTTGTTATCCTATTATATGAACTGTTAATGGATAATATTGCTGCATAATGTTTCTGATTGATACTTCCACTGATAAACAGAGATTACTCAGTACTGTTTGCTAAAGGTATATTCTGTTCTTTTTGAAGTTATACTTTATAATTTCATATAAGTTGATTATCAGCTGTAAGTTGTTCACTAGTGTTGATCAGAAATTATGCTAGTCCTGTTGGGATAAACAAAGGATTTGTACGTAGTACTGGACCAATTACTAGTACTTTTACAATTATTTAATTGCATATGCAAACAGGCATTTTTGCATAAGCAAACCAGAATGTTGTTTAAATTAAAAAGTAGAGTAATTCACTAACTGAGATTTTTATCTAAAGAATGCTATGCTCTGCTGTGCCTAGTCACTCAGTCGTGACTGACTCTTTGCGACCCCATGGACTGTATGTAGCCCACCAGGCTCCTCTGTCCATGGGAATTCTCCAGGCAAGAATACTTGAGTGGGTTGCCATGCCTTCCTCCAGGGGATCTTCCCAACCAGGGATCGAACCCAGGTCTCCCACATTGCAGGCGGATTCTTTACCAGCTGAGCTAACAGGGAAGCCCCATTTAAAGAATAACACCTCTGAATTTTTTTAAATGTAGGTTAATAACAAACAGATGTCGCTGCACAGATTTATTTATACAGTGAATTTTATTACATGATTAGTGCTGTTCCAGGTCTCAGGGTATCCTGTATGTAGTCCTAGCACTATTCTTGTGCACTATAAGATACAGTCATGCTTCATGTAATGCACAGAGCTTTTTAAAAGGATGTTTTAAATTTTATAATCAAAAAAAGGTAACATTTTTTTGGTAATTTGATTTTTTTTTTTTTTGCAGAACGTCCTCTTCACTACACAGAAAATGTGTTGGAACAGGTGCTTCGATGGAGTTCATTAGCTGAACCTGGCTCTGCTTATCTTGTAGTGAAGAGATTCTTAACCATTGACACGATTAAACACTACAATGGTAGGTGCTGCTATTTCACATATCCAACTATGGTTGAAAATTCAAGTGGTTAAAGGACAATTATTATGGCACAAGTGTTACTTGAAAATGTAAAAGATGGGTAGCTAAATGTAGAATTTACTAACATGTTATTGCAGAATAGAAAGAATATATAGACCAAGTGCCACGATCAGATTTTCCCGGTGGGTAGCACCATGATATTAGTTGGTTAATTTGATAGTATCACGTTAAATGTTCTGCAGGAATGATTCTTCTTTTTAAGTTTTTGTTTGTTTGTTTTATAGTCATGCTTGGGTGTTTTCCTAATTTTTGGATAGATGGGAATCATCCTGAATTATGTTTACATTTGAAAGTTCTCTGGGCACTCAAGAAGTGCAAGCTCTGAGATTGTGTGCTTGTTAAAATTCTCACCTATTTTGCCATAATATTGGAAAACAAATATAAAAAAATTCTTTTAATAATGGTATTTGCCATCCAACTGGGAGAAGACATGTACACATGTAAGGTTAAGTCAGAAGTTAGCTAACATGGGGGAACGATGTTTGACATATCAGAAAACTTTCATTTTGAAACTTTTTTTGTTACGTTGACATTAGCTGACAGATTAGAAAGATTTCCTGGCACACAGTCTATAAACCAACTCCGAAAGCAGAGGATTCAAATTTTATTAGATGAAATTTACCACAGCTTTTCTAATTCATATTCATAATAACCATTACTATTTATTAATCATGTATTTTATTAACTGAGCTCCTTACATACCAAAACTCATTTAGAACTTTTTTTTTAACCTCTCCATGAGTTATATTATCATTTGAATTTTACACATGAGGAAAGAGCTCAAAGAAATTAAGTAACTTGCCTCCAGTTCACATATTTATTAAATCCAGTAAGTCTCCTACATATGAATGTGCAAGATGTGAACTTTCAAAGATATGAATGTGCCTTTGCATGTCCAATCACATAAGTTAGTTCCTGTGTCTGGCATACACTGTCCCATGCATACAACCTCTGCCATTGGCTTTGTTTGTGTGTGCTCTACTGTACTGTGTAGAGTAAGCAGTACAGTATCTTTATTTCAAGCCCAGGGTGTCTGGAAGCAAAGCCTAAAAGCAGCAGTGATGTAACGGTACTGCTAGTCTGTGCCAAGTGATAACCATGGAAACAAAAGTGAAAACAATTGAGAGAGTGGAGCGAGGCAAAAAGATGATAGACATTGCTCATTCTTATGACTTGAATTGTTTGACCATCGGCACAACTCTAAGGAGCAAGGACAAGATCATGGAACATGTGAAGTCTGCTGTGCGATGATGTCAACGATAATACCAAGGAAACGGGCAAGAGTGATGGAGAAGATGGAGAACCTTCTCGGTGTGTGGATGCAGGGTCAGCATCAGTGTGGAGGGCCACGCAGTTTAATGCCGATTCAAGAGAAAGTGAAAAGCCCTTATGAAGGCTTGAAGAAGAAATATGGTGAAAATTAGAGGGTGTATTTTTTAATGTTAGCAACAGCTGGTTTCATCAGTTCAAAGCTAGAGCCAACCTTCACAACATAAAAGTGACTAGGCAGTGAAGATACTGTAGCTTTCTGGGAATTTCCTGTAATACTTTAGGGAATTACTGCTGAAGACACATGTTTACCCAAGCAGGTTTTTAATATGGATAAGACAGGGCTGTATTGGAAGAGGATGCCAGACTGAAGTTACATCTGTACGGAGAAAAGCTGATGCCAGGCTATAAAGCAGCAAAGGATAGGCTAACTCTGTTGTTTGGTGGCAATGCTTCTGATATCAAGCTGAGACCTCTCTTAGTTTATCATTCAGAGAAACCAAGAGCCCTTAAAGATATAGCCAGGGGCTCTCTTCCTATTGTGTGAAAGAGTAACCCCAAAGCCTGGGTTACACAGGGCATCTTCCAAGATTGATTTTTCCACCACAGTACCCCAAAGGGAGAGAAATATTACTTGAAGGACGTCCCATTCAACATTCTTTTGTGGCTTGACAGTGCTCCAGGCCACTCCCCACTCATGGACAGTTTTCATCCCATTTTCAAAGCAGTGCATCTTCCACTGAATACTATGTTGCTCACCCAACCTGTGAACCATTATAGCAACTTTGAAGAAATATTACTTATTACATAGTATTCATCAGGCAGTAAGGTAAATGATGAATCAGGAACAACCCTGAAACAATTTTGGAAGGACTCTAACATTCACAAGGCCATTATTTTTTTTTTTCACTTCCCTTGGTGTGAAGTTACTACTGTCACTGTGAATGGAGTTTGGGAGAACCTTTGCCTACAATTTGTTCATGATTTTCTTGGATTTGAGAAGGTAGATGAGGAGTCCATCTTTGGCAACTTAGTGACCCTCAGTGAGAAGCTGAAGCTAGATCTGCAAGAAGATAACTTCATTGAACTCCTTGCTGTGCAACGCAAGGGGCTTATTAATGAAGACCTGATGGAATTGGAGTCCCAGAAAAACAATGAAGAGAGACAAGGGAAAGAAAAAGTATTGAAGAACCGGAGAGAGTCACAGTTCAGGAAATGGCAAGGGATTCTCTTTATTTGAGGAGTAACTGTTTTTAAGGCACCAGACTCAACATAGAATGGTACACAATCTTGCAACAGCCATTCAGAATGCAGTCCAGGGCTACTATGCCACCTATGATGAGGAAAAAGAAAAAAGAGAGAGAGCTACCACCCAGCCATTACTGGATTGTTTTTTCAAGAGAGTAGATGGAATTGAATCCAGCAAGGAAGCAGAACCTGTGCCATCGTCAGGCATGAGTGAAATTTCAGCTTTCCCTCTGTCTCCTATTGCTGATGGTCCTCCAGCTGTACCATCCCCCACCTCTTCTCCCTCCTCCATTAGTTAATTCTTCTTGCCTGTTTATTCCATGCCAGCCCCTGTAAGCCAGCTATTGTACCTTTCAAGGTACTGTACTGTAAGATTAAAAATGTTTTATTTTTGACTTTGTTTTTTATGTATGATTTGTGTGAAAAATATTATACACCTATTATAGCACAGTCCTGTATAGCTCATTGGGTTGGGTACCTAGGCTAACTTTGTTGGGCTTATGAACAAACTGGACTTATGAATGTGCTCTTGGAACAGAGCCCCTTTGTATGTAGTGGTTTACCATACTGGATTTGTGTACAGGTTAGTTTTACTTCTAATTAAAAAAAAAAAAGTTGGGGAGGTTGGTATACCTCTTAAATGTGGTAAAGCTAACTGGTACGATTGCAGACTCTTAACTAGTAGTGACTCGTCAGCAAGTTCTTAATTGTACCAGACTAGTCTGATACATTTCTGTTTTTGTGATGATGCTTTGGTATGTTCTGGCTACCATACCAAACTACAGTAAACTGGGTGGCTCAAGGTATATGTGTGCTCAGTCATGTCCAACTCTTTGTGACCCTCTGGACTGTAGCCCACCAGGTTCCTCTGTCCATGAAATTTTCCAGGCAAGAATACAGGAGCGGGTTGCCATTTGCTTGTCCAGGGAATCTTCCTAATTCAGGGATTGAACCTGAATCTCTTGCATCTCCTGCTTTGGCAGATGGATGGCTTATAAACAGAAATTAATCTCTCACATTCTGAAGACTAGAAGTCTAACGTCAGATGTCAGCATGGGCAAGTTCTGGTGAGAGTCCTCTTGCAGGCTACAGACAGGGGACTTCTTGTATCCTCCCAGGGTGGGGAGCAGAGGGAGGAAGCAAGTTCTCTGTGACTCTTTGTTGTGGTGGTTCTTTAATTGCTAAGTCATATCCAACTCTTTGTGACCCTATGGATTGTAGCCTGCCAGGCTCCTCTGTCCATGGGATTTCCCAGGCAAGGATACTGAAGTGGGTTGCCATTTCTACTCTAAGGGATCTCCCCCACCCCACCCCCCCACCCCCCGCCCAGGTATCTACCCAGCATTTCCTGCCTTGGCTCCGAGTTCTTTACCACTGAGCCCTCAGGGAAGCCCTCTCTGACTCTTTCAAGGACATGAGTCCCATTCCTGAAGATCCCACCCTCATGACCTCATCTAATCCGAATTACCTCCCAAAGGCCCCAGACTTCCTAATACTGTGTAGGTAGGTTTCAGCATATGAATTTGGGGAAGCATAAATATTGGGTCCTAACTCTACCCTTCATATCTTATCATTATATAAAAGTATTTTTACAAAATGCAAACTTCTATGTCATTCTGGTCTTATTAGCATCTAAATAGAACAGGTGTTCATTTTGCTGTAGAAATTAATCTGTTAGACACCTTTACCTTATTCAATTTCTTTCTTCCTCCTACATGTGATTTTGATTGCATCCTCCACATACTGCTTCAGGATCGCAGGAGAAGTTCTCTCTAGTCATATGACAGTCTTCCCTGTCATAGAGCAGTGGTCCTTGGGTGGTGGACACTTTTGTCCTCCAGGGACACTTGGCAATATCTGGAGATATTTCTGTCACACTGGGTTGGGGGCGGGGGTGGGGGGAGGCTTCTGGTATATAATGGTTAGAGACCAGACATGCTGCTAAACATCCTACAAGACACAGGAAATCTCTCTGCAACAAAGAATAATCTGAAAAAGTCAGTGGTGTCATGCTGAGAATCTCGATTTAGATAATGTATGAAAATCTGGTCTAGCTCATAAATTCGGTAATCTTTCATTTTAATGTTGAGATAAATGTTTTGACCTTATGAACGAAGTCCTGTCAACATTATAAAATATATTAAAGGTTCTCATGGCTTTTCTTTTAGAAAATAAGTGATATTTTCATATTTGGTGTGAGACTTTTAATGTTTTAATATTCCTCTAAAATGTCTCTAAATTCTCCATGTTGCAAAATGCTTAAAATCCCACACTTATATATAATAACTTGGGCTTCCCAGGTGGCGCAGCGGTTAAGAATCTGCCTGCCAATGCAGGATTTGCAGGTTCAATAACTGGGTCAGGAAGATCCCCTGGAGGAGGAAATGGAAACCCATTCCAGTATTCTTGCCTGGAGAATCCCA